TTCACCCCATTCGAAATGTGCTTTCGCTTGTTACCATAGCAGCAGAAAGCCCCAGACTTTCAGTCTGGAGGAGTTCTCCTCAAAGCAGCACTGTACCACAGATCACTTTTTTTTTCTTTAGAAAAACAACCTCTGGGTGTTTTTTATTTATGTGATACTTATTTATGTGATAATAAACTTATTAAAATGATAGAAATGTTATGAAAAAATATCTAAATTAACTGAGTGAAAACTGAATGAAAGTAGATGGACTGTTTCATTTTATTTATTTCTGTTTAACAATGATAGCCTTGTCGATTGTAAATTATTTTGTCTCTCAATTCCAAAAACAGCAAAATGTAACTCACGTATGTCTGTATAAAACCAAATTAAATGACTTCGATGAATGACAATATTCACATTGTAATTTAGGTAAATGTGCAAAAATATTTATTAAATGCCATTGTTTCTCTCTTATGCTTGTTAGTGTCAACATTCAACAAGGACTAAAAAAAGTGCTGAGCAGTATGTTTTTGTTTAATATCATCACTTCTCTGTTATATCGGCTAATGTTGACATTTAGTATGAGCTGATGGTAAGTGTTGAATAAAAAATTTTGTTTAATATCATTTCTCTCGTACATCGGCTAATGTCACATGGATTCATGGTAATTGCTGGATAATTTTTTTTTTTGTTTAATATTATCACTTCTGTTATACATCAGCTAATGTTGACATTAATGGCATGGACTGATGGTAAATGTTGAATAAAATATTTTTGTTTAATATCATCTCTTTTCTCGTACATCGGCTAATATCGCCATTCAGCATGGACTGATGATAAATCCTGAATAAAATATTTTTGTTTGATATCAGCACTTCTCTCGAACATCAGCTAATGTCGTCATTCAGCATGGATTGATAGTCAATGTTAAATAAAATATTTTTATTTAATAATCATCATTTCTCTCTGACATCGGCAAAAGACAGCAATCCATGGTCTAATTTTAAATGTTGAATCATCGGCAAGTGTCGATAGAGTGCTGTACTGTAATAGTTAAGGCCCGGATTTTGATGACATTTGCATTTTCGTGCATTTTTGGACATTTTTTGTCTTTTAGAGCAATTTTTTAGATTTATAGGGCATTTTTCTTTAAATTTTGGGGCGTATTTTGCATTTTAATGCATTTTTTAAAGTTTTTTGTTAATTTTTTCCAATTTTTATTATTTTTTATCAATTTTCATTATTACACTGGCTTCCAAACAATGAAGAAAATCTATAGAATATTAACAGGTGAAGCAAAATCTTTTCAAATTGAAGAAGAATTGTCAGTAAGTGAGACCGTCTTTTTCAAGTACGCACCTATAACATCAGTAGACGTTGAAAGAAGCTTCTGCAGGAATGAAAATTTACTTTCAGACAAGAGACGCTCGTTTACATTTCAAATTATCAAAAAACATTTAATAATCCAATGTAATTCTGATATTTAGTAATATTATGAGATGGAAGTTGTTATATCCATTAAAGTTTCTATACAAAATAAAAATATTTTGGTGTCAATATATTTTCCTTTTTTTGTTATTTTAGGATATAAAACATATTTTTCAAACTTTAATGAACGTAGAACAAGTATTGCATTGCTTTATATTTTTTAAATGACTCATAATAATTTTAAAGAGCAAAACATTTTTTTAATTCAATATTTTTACTTTATTTAAGGCATTTTTTTGCGCAATTTTTGCATTTTTAAGGGCATTTTTGGCCCTTTTTAAGGGCATTTTTTGCATTTTTTAAGGGCATTAGTTGAGATTTTTTAGGTCATCAAAATCCGGGCTCTAGTAATAGTAATAACCTTTAAATCATTTTTTAATTAAAATAATTTTATCTTTAACGTATCCATTATAATCAAATCATTTACAAATTGCGATCATGATAGAATTATCACCCAGACAAGAATTACTTTAGCTCTATAGTGAATTGACACAGTACCAATATACGCTAAAAAGAAGCATTATTGAAAATCTGCGTAATAACATGCATGTTAGAAATAAAAAGAAACATAATTTTTTCTAATTCCGATAAGGGTAATCACATGAATTGAGTAATCTTATAATAACGCTCTCAAGTTTTTGAGTAAAAAGTCGCTTTGGAAATTTAAAAAAGCAGACAAAAGTAAATACAAAATTGCGTCATTAGTTTTCCTGAAAGTAGCTGAATTATAAAATAAAAAATGAATTTTCTGAAAAAAACCGGATTTTTGATAGCATTCCTAAAATCAGAAATAATCAATTAATGTGTGTTTTAAAGAATGAATCAATTTGAGGGTTCAAGAAAATTTAAGTAATTTATGATTATAAAATTAACTTATTTATTTTAGTTTTTTAATAATTTTTTTAATAATAAGTGACAAAGTTTGACCTTTTGCTTATGGCTGGTACAACATGTAGACCACATGTAATCGTACAAATGGTACACAGTAAGCAAAGGGTTAATTATTCGAATAATAGAAAGTCTCCTACCAATAATCTCTGAATCTGCATTGTTAATGAAAGCAAAAATAATTGCATAAATAATAAAAACAAAAATATATATACATTAAAAATATAAGTTAATGCATTTCTAAAACTAAAATTTCGATAATTTATCTAAAATTTTAGTTATATATTTTATGACATTTTTCCTCTTAAAATATTATTATATAAAGACATTAACAATTTTTTTTTTCCGATTGTGGGTTGGTTAAAAAGATTTTTATCTTAAGCCAGTGATCCGAAGGCGTAAGCTACAAGTAGCGAAACTACTGTAGTTGCAAATTTTTTTCGTAGTATTTTTCAAAGAAGTAGTGCAGTGAGTAATGCAATACAAAAAAATATGGTTATTTTCAGCATTTTCTAACAACTACTTTTATTAGTTAATAGACAAGGTTCTAAAGCAAGTAATTTTTCGAATCAGATTGGTACAATTTTTCTCAGGTTTGTAAAAAGCAATAAACACAATGAGAATGCCCAAGAGCCGAGAGTTGATAAAAATTACCTCTGATGCTTCAGAGCAGCAAATATGTTTTCTTTAATCTAGAAATTATATAAAATGATTAATATTTGAACTAGGCGATAAGAATAATAGCTTATTCATCACTTTGGCCATACCTTCAAATACAGTGCACAAAATAAAAAAACGGACTACCCTGATTGACTTTTGATCTAATGATCGGATCTTCATGCACTAGGACTCAATCTTAATGGTTTGAGAGGATGATATCAAATAAGCTAATTAATTAGTGCAGATGATATTTTAAGTTACGAAAGCAGACACAAAAATGTACTTTCGCTGAATAAACATACCCTTTTTTCGACGGATTCGAATTGCTGACTTCCAAAATGTTGCCGCAATCTGCGATGCATGGTCCCCCTAATATATGTGATCAGGAGAGCGGTCCAAAGTTTTGATCCCTTAATGTAAATTTTATTATTTGCGTATTTCGCCCCATCTCGAGAACTTTTTAAGCGAATTGAAAAAATTTTGCGCACAATCGTAAAATTCGTAAGATTATCTATAAATTCGTAAGATACGAGATTCATAAAAGATAATCCGATGCAAAATATAACTTTAAATAAATCCCTTTTTTTTATTTTTTTACTTAATAATAGTCGAAAAGCTTTTGAATTGTAAGGTATACAATATTTGCATCATTTTAAAGAAAGTAATTTTACATGACGAAATGCGAAATTGGTCGAATAGTTCCTGAGAAATCAAATTTTAAAGAAGTCGTATTTTTAAAATTTGACTTCTCAGAAACTATTGTTATACTTGTGAACAAAAAAATTTTAATTCTCGAGAAAGGGCGAAATACAAAATAAATAAATAACATCAAAGGAGCTTCATTTTTGATATCTTCTAATTACAAAAATGTATTTCAATATTTTTAATAAAGTAATAATTTCTGAATTCTAGATTTAATATCTTGCTTAATTAATATTTTTCTTAAAAAATGATATTTACAACAGTATTTATTCATTTAAAAAACAACTTTAATAACATATGTATCATTATTAAAACAAGCTCTTTAATTCCATATTTATTTATTTGTTTAGAAATTTATTATTTGGTTTATGAAATTGAAATGTGCTTTAAGTTTATTCAAGCGGTAGTTCAAGAAGTCTGTATAAGTTTACAACAGACGCTCTAAAAATTTTCGTCCGTTTCTTGTAAAAAGCACTAATTATCTTATTTTAGATAAGTGATATATAAATTTATGAATTAAAAATAATATTTAAAGGTCCATAGTGTTATAATAGCTTGCGAAATGAAAAAAAAAAAATATGAATGTATAAATTAATGAATAAGTTTTTTCCACCATTTGGAGAAAGCTTTAAGGAGTTCTATTGTTCCAATGGAAAGTTATAAGTGGTACTACTGTTTAAAAAAAATTTTGATTACTTAACTAACTATTTATAATTGATTGTGCTATTTGAATGCAATATATATCAATGAAATTTTACATAACTGTAATTCAAATTTTAATTGAATGTACAAATAAAAATTCCAAATATAAACACCAAGCAACTGAATGAAAATTTCGAACTGACTCTCGAAAGATAACAACATTGATAATTTCTTAAATTTATTATTTTTTGTAGACATTTATAGAGTAACTATTTCGAGAATTAATTATCAGCAACTCTGTAGAACATTAAAAAAAATAATAATAATAGTAATATATATCATAATTTGTAGTACATTGAGTTTTGTATAGATGGCGACACTACCTCATTCAGATTTTCATGTCTAGTTGTATCTTTTGTCGTCTTTCTGAGATATTAACATGGAGTCACTTTGATAGTTTTGTTTTTAAACAAAAATAGGCAGTCGAAACCGCTAATTTAAGATATTTTTACTAAACTGTAACTGTGTTTAGACATCAATATTTACAAACAAGTTTGCAAATTATTTGCAAATATTACAAACTTAGTATTTCTCTGCGTGCACGATCAATTAAATTTCTTGAATATTTAATGCAAAGCATGATTGATTACACCAAACCCACAACATTTAAATGTCGAAAGTGCAGACATTTACTCTTCCTAGAAGAACAAATATCTAACTGCCACAATGAGCCTCTTTTTCCATTAACAAATGACAATCAAAGTTGTAATCCTAGATCAAATGTTTGGTATCTTAGAGAAGAATCGTTCCCAGATTGGGTTAAAGAGCAAGTAAATGATGGTAATTGGATGAAAGGGAAAATATTTTGTCCTTTTTGCAAATGTAGGTTAGGCTCGTTTGACTTCGTAAGTGGAAATAAATGCACTTGTGAAACACATGTATTACCACCATTGCATGTTGTATCTTGTAAATTAGACTATATTGTTAAGACATCGCTTGATGAAACTAATGTAACTGAAAGCCATACAGAACAATCTTCAGAATCAAATGATTTGAAAGCTGTTCTTTCTTAAGTTAGTATTCCCTACTGCTTTTGTGAAATTGTTATTTTTTGAAGTAGTTAATTAATTTCTACTGTTAATTACTTCTAAAATGATATAATATAAACAAATTCATTGTTTTATATTAGGTTTGTTATTTAATGTGAAAATTGAGAATGAACCTAAATGATCTTGTTTGTGTTACCGTTTGTGTAATGCCTAGTCCGTCACCGTTTGTGTAATGCCAAGTCCATTTGTTTAAAAATAAATAATTGTTTGAGGGGAGTTATATAATTGAAAATCTAGTACCTATCTATTTTTAGCGGCTGTAAAAAAAAAAAAAAAAAAAAAAAAATTTCGTATCATGATATGTCACACCAATTTGTCCAAGATGCTACATGGATTTTAAACTTGCCAATTTAAAAAAAAAACATATAGAGGTTTGCGAGAAATTGGCTGTAATTTATACCGTTCAGTTCAAATTAATCCCCTTCACGGATTTTTTAATATCTCTTGAGCCACTGTCTCAGGATACAGAAATATTCGCAGTATATGTCTGTATTATATTAGTATCATATACCCAGTATTAGGTACCTTGTATCTTAAAGCTACATGACTAAGAAATTGAGCTGAATTGTAAGACACTGAAATGTTATCACCAGTGGCAACTTAAAGTTCACTGAGCTTTAGATTTATGTGCACCACCTTGTCTGGAATTGAAAGATGATCGGTGCAAATTCTAACATACAATAAGCCGCTGCTCAATATTATTAAATTATGTAATATTTTTAAATTATGTATTATTAAAGAAATTAATTAAGCATTGCTTGGGACTATAGAAAATTTCTTATGTTCATCCTAAAATGAATAAGATTTGAAAATCAATCAGAATCAATTGATTTTAAAGCTATTCCATGAGGTTAAGCTTTCCACCAACTCTTGTGGCCATTTAAACTTCCATTATTTAACAATTATTTAATGACTTAATTTAAATAGTTGCCATTTTTTAATTAGTTAGTTTCTACTTCTTAAAAAATAATTTATTCATAAAAAATACCTCATATTTTTATTGTATCATCCACCAGTATGTGTGTATGTTATATATTTTTTCCTATTACTGAAAAAGGAACAGAATGCTTGGGAAATATTCTCTCATTATTTGTTTCAATGTTAACAATTGTTAATCATTTTTGGTATCAATCATGAAAGTTTCTTAAAAGTTAGACATTGTTTTCATTATTTAAAAATATTTATATTAGTTTGAAATAGCCAATTTTGGCATTTTAATATAGTCTTCATTAGAGTTTTAATCAATGTGGTTATGTGGTTGTTATTTTGTTTATATTTTTTCTTATCATAAAATTTACTCAGCTGTAGATAGATTATTTCTAAAACTGATTTTAAAAAGTGAAATTTCATCTTTTATAAAGAGCATATAAAATTATATTTCAGTAATATATTAATTTTCCACTATTATCATTTTAACTAAAATTATGCTGTCTACATTTTCTTCTACATATTTTTGAAACCAGTAAAGTTTTTTTTAATTATGCTATATCTTACCTCTTCAGTTTCTTGAGATTATTTATTTAAAACCAGTAAAATGTTCCTGTTATTTAGTGTGGTATATACATACATAAAAAAATAATTTTCTAATTTTTTCTTTTTTTTATATTTGTTAAATATTACTCCTTCATGCTTACAATGGCAACATACATTTATGTACTTTCACATTCAACAAATGAATGCTGAATGTTTTTTTTTTACCATGTGTTCACCTTGAAATCACTAAATGCTAAATGTCAACCATTATATAGGTAAATGAGAAAGCTTGGTGTTTAACTAAATATATATATTCAATTTAGAAATTCTAGAGCATGCCAAGGCAATGTGTTCACTTAAAGGGCATTTATTGAAATGCTGAATTTCATACATTTATGCCAACTTATATGTTTTATGGTTTAAAAGAAATTTATGCACATAAATCTGAAATGAACTAGATGTGCTACTGAATTAAACTGAAGTTACATATTCCTGTATCCAAAATTGTAGCATTTTTTCAACAATTTAATAAAAATGTATTCTAAAAGTATGTCATTTTAGTGAATTCTTTTCCTGAAATGCAGTATTTTTTCTTTCTTACCTTTTTTTTTTTTTTTTTTTTTTTTTTTTTTTTTTTTTTTTTTTNAAACTTTTGACCTGTTCAAAGTAATTATTATTTGTTTATTATTAAGAAAGGTATTTATTTAAATAAACATGTTGAAATTCATTTTATTAAAAGTCAAATGAATTGTGTAAAAAGTGAAATGCTTGTTTGTTTAAATCATACAACATTTTAAAGTAAAGTAATGGTACATTTTAAAGTAATAAACAGGAAGCAACCCAGCATCATTTAAATTAAATACATTTATTTTCACGGAATCAGCAAATTGATTTTACCAGTGAATTGTCTTCTTATTCTGGTTCATTGTGTAACTTTTCTGCTATACTGACTTATGAATTTTATTATACGATATATAAATATTTTTTAATGGCTTTTTTGCTTTGTTTTCTACTAGAAAATGTCTTACAGTATTTTTCAATTGGGGAGAAATAAAAGTACTTTCAAATTTTTTTTTTTATGAATTAATAATACATTTGCCCCGATGTGATTTAATTTAATAGTTCATATTTAAGTAAAGGAAAGGAATGTATTTGCAATACATCTGCTGATATCAGTGCTATCTCTCCTGGCAATATTTACTTTAATTACAATACTTACAGTGGTTAGGAAATGATTAAAGCGTGTATTGTGCAATGAAATTTTATCTCTCTAGTGATGTGAAAAGTGTTCAGAAAGATGATAAATTGACAATAATTCTGCTACTAGCAGTGGGGAGATGATTGAACTTTGTATTACAATCAGGTACAGGGCGCCAATTAAAATTTATGTATCATAAACAGTCTGATAGTTGTCTAAATTTAATTGCAATAATCTATTTCCATTATCACACTCAAAATGGAGTTAATGAAACCATAGGTATAAAAGAAGGCTGCAAGTTAAAACTACTTTCCTCTAATCAGGGGTCTTGTCCAGATATTTTGTGAAAGGTCCTGTTTTTGTAAAATTGTGAAAAAACTATTCATAATTTATGAACATAAAATAAGCCTTAAGTCACATTCTTTCAACCAGGGTCCTACTTTTGTGAATTTGTGCAAATAGGATCCTGTTATTGCAAAANTTGCTACTTTTAGTAAAGTTAAAAAATAATTCTTTTACTAATTTACAATGTTTTTTAATAGAACGTGTAAAGCCCATATAAAGAAATTATTGCCTTTTTAGAATAATAATGCCCTTTTTTTAAGCTTTTGCACCCTGCCCTTTTTTCTGCCTAGAATGAGCTCTGAATTTGTGCAAATAGGATCCTGTTATTGCAAAAAACCTTTTCAAGAAGTTTTTAAATTGTAAATAGATACAAGATTCTGCTCAACATTTGCTGCTACTAAATTAGAGATGCATCATACAAATATTTGGTATTTAGCCTATTTATGCTTAACACAGAATATTCATTTCGGACAAATAATGGAAACAAAATCACTCACATTTTTAATAATTTCAATTGATATATTTTAAATAGCACAACTTAGTAATGTATCACTTTCAATGTGTTACGGATTCAGCAAACTTAAACAATTCTTAAAATTATAATATTTTATTTTAAAAATTGCCAGAAATTAATTTTTATTTACATAATTTTCTATTAATTAATTTTATGGATAAATATAAATTGATCAATTATTAATTTACAAAAAAAAATATGATTTAATATTAATAAGAATGCACACACGATGTTTGTAAAAGTAGAAATATTTTCTTAGAATACTACATTTGGAATTTAAACTTAGGGAAACTTAGTTTGTCTCGAACCATCTTTCTTCACCACCCCCCGGGAAGGGTTTATTTGATTAACAAAACAATGAAGATAAACAAATTTGTGAAGGGTCTGTTTAAAAGATAAATTATTTTGTGAAGGGTCCGTTTTTATGAAAGGATATTTTGTGAAGGGTCCGTTAAGGGACACAAATTTCTTCTAAACAGACCCCTGCTAATTGAATATCATTAGTGTTTTTTTTTTCTATTGACACAGCCATACTGATTAAGAAAAATTTCATTTCATTTTCTAGGTGCAAAGGATTTTCTGTGAAAAGCATTTTTACTTGTTATTTATTTTTAGTTGTAGATATTTTTTTATCTCAATACTACAATTAATTTTATTACCCCTAATGTAATTGTTTCTTCTCATTATCTACTTTTAATTTTCCGTTAATTTTATTTTTTAATGCATAAAATAAATTGTCTTAAGAATATTTTTATTTTATTTATTTGTAGATTTTTTACATTCTGGGAATGGTGGATTTTATTTTCATAATTTATTCTACGACTAATGCACTTATAACTATAATTTTTTTTTTTTTATCCTCTATTAATATTGAGTTTTTATTTTCCATTTTGGTTAACTGTATATAGAGTAGCATCCATATTATTAAACTAATTTGATTTTTTCCTCTAATTTCAAATTTTCAATGAGATTTGCTGGGCATTAATAATTTTATAAATCATGCATTATTTTTGAAACATTCTTGTACATGTGGAAAAATCTTCATAATTTCGTAACAGAACCTGAATGATATAAAAGTGTATAATGTAAGATCTAGATAAATTTTTTCAGTTATATCAGTAATTTACTGAATAAAGTTGCTAAGCATAATTCTGGTTTGGAGAATGTAAAATTAAATATATATTCTCTATAAATATAAAATAAAGACTATAAAGGACAAAAACATATTGAACAAATGACAAAACAAAGTTTTATCCAAGCAACAAGATATCCCATAGTTTGTGTACGGTAAGAACTCCCCCAGCCGCAAAGTCTGATGCCCGCTGCTATGGAAGCAAGAATAGTGCATTTCAGGTAGGGTAGCTTCTCTTCACTCTAGGGCTAACACAATAGACCGAAGAAAAATATTTCCCTTTTCTCGCCGACCCAAGCCAA